CTATACCAAGAGCCTGGATCGATTTGCCAAGACCCATTTCATCAGCCAGAAGCAGTCGACCTCTTCTCATTACACCATATCTAGAAGACCACAAATTTCATTCTTTTGAATTTCAGTCTTCTCTATTTGAAGTAACTGCACAGATTTGAAGCTAAACCAATAACATATAGTAAAACATACATTACACCTCGACGCTGGTACGGAAAAAAAGCATCAACCAGTGTTTTTTCAATATGCTTCTCAAGATTGGGTTCGTTCAAGCCAACATTTGATTTACGGTAAGTTAACAATGTCTGCAAAAAAAAAAAAATAAGTTCTTAATAATAATAATAATAACAACTAATAAAAAAAAAAGAAAAGAAATAAGTTAACCAAGTCACCTTAACGACATGATCGGAAAATTTTTCGATTTCTAACGAGACATCATCCAATGATTGCAAGACATTCTCAACTGTACAAATATCTTCCAAAGGAAATGACCATGCTGTTATCTTAGGAATGTAAATCCTAGATGGAATTGTTTTCAGAGCAGAGAGAATTGATTGACTGAATGGAGTGAATTGCACCTAAAACAAAAAAAAAAAGTTTTCAATAATACGACAAGAAATACACAAAAAGGATAGTTAATCAATGATGGGTGGTTCAAAAAACACAGTGTAATTTTATTTTCCTTTTGTCTTTTAAATTTACTTTTTTTTTCCAGTTCTTAATTTCTCTTGACGACTGCATTTTATGTACTTTACGTGTTAAATGTGTAATTCCCGGCTTTTTTTTTAAAAAAAAAAAAAAAAAAAAAGTAGAAATAAGCATTTTATGAGTTTTTTCTCTTTAAAAAGATTTTTTTTAAAAAAAAAAAATAAAAACAAGAGTTTTATCTAATTATTTCATACGGCAGATATTATACTGCCTACTGTCAATATAATCTGTGCAGAAGAAAGAGAATCATAAACGCTGTCAATCACAAATGTAACTAACCTGAAAATATTTAGTGTCGATAAGCTTAAAAATAACGTTGACAGTAGTTCGTTTAAGATGAACGGTTGTAACAACGGGAGGTCGTTTAATAGGTGACAATATAGGCAATGCTTTACGATTCAGTTTAGCCTTCAGTGGAACAAACGGCGCAGACGTTGATGGTTGTTGTTGCTCAGCACGATGTGTCATAGGTTGTGCTGAGTGGTCGGATGTAACTGCTGCAGGTAGCTTTGATCCATCATGTTCATTTGTTACAGATAGTTGTACAGGTTTACTTTCATCCCGAACTGTGACAGATACCTTCCTGGATGAATTTAAAGACCATAGTCCTGGTCGTAACATCATCTGTGCTTTTACGGATGTGTGTGAAGTATCACCAGTGGTGGAACAATTACTCACTGTATTTATATGTTTCATGTTTTCCGGCTTCCCTTCACGTTCCTGTCGTAAAGCCATTCGTCGCAAAGCTTCTGCTCGATTCCGTTCAATCCGTTTCAGTTGTTCGGTAGTTAATGAAGTGGCCATATCAAATCTAGCAACCTAAATCGTACATTTACAAGTTTTATTTATAAAACGAGTATCTTTGAGTCTGACCTAAATTATTCACTCATTGCTTCAATCATCATTCTCTTTTGTTTGGAGTTATCTTTACCGTTCTATCAAGAATTTTCTGAAAGAAATGAAAATATTAGTTGACAACGAAAAAAAAAAAAAAGTGGAAGATTTAAATTAGATATGAATCGTTGTCATAGAAGACCCGTTATTTTCCTGTCATATGGAAATTCGGCTTCTCGACTTACATAGCCCTACTTGTCCTAAAAATTGTATTAATCTAGTTCATCCCGAATGGTCAATTCAATCAATCCACTTTCACAGTACCATAACTTAACCTGTGAGAACTCGGATCATCAGTATTAAATTCTGGTCCTAAATATTGCCACAGAATCTCGAATATTGTAACAGAATTTCTGTCCAAACATTTTCACGTTAAATAAGCTCACGACTAAACTTCGTTAAAACCCTCTCTCTCTCTCTCTCTCATAAGTGTCCTTAAAACAATCACAACAGTACATCTCATTTCAAGCCTTCTGAAACTTCGAATGAATGAGCACCAAACATCAGAACCGATTTACTCTAACGTGGAACACTGAAATTCACAGGTCAGAACAACAACACATAAAGTAGTCTTTGTCGGTGTTTCTGAATCTTTCGATCTTTCGAAGAGGAATATCATTGTTGCACACATTAGGAAGCATTTCCCATAGCTGTATGAATGAAAAAGTATTACAATCGTTAAAAAGTTTTATTTCGCAAATAAAACAAAAAAAAAAAAAAAGAAAAAAAAAAACGAACGATGGAGAGTACAGTGAACAACCAATCAGCCACTATATTTACTTGTGTTTGAAATGATAAGAATGAATGAGAAGCAATCAGTTCAGAAAACGAATTTCTGAATGTTTCATTCCTGAATTTACTCAGACACTAAATATTAAATAAATGTACTGATAATTACTGTTGTAAATCATTCGCTGCCAACGAATTATATGATAAAGAGAATAAAATCATCGCTGTTACTCCTACTATCATATGATCACTCAGGAACGAAAAGCCAAATGCCATTATTCCTAGCACCGGAACAGTGGAAGGATGGGCATTAGATAGGAGTAATTTGGAGACGATGAATTAATGACTGATTTCAAACTTGACCGGTAAAACAAAAACGAACAGTTATGTAAGTTATAACGATGGTAAAGATATATTAAAAAATTCATTTGATTAAAAAGTCAAAAAATACACCAAATTTTCTGACTTTAGTAGGAAAAAACGGTTTGCGCAAAAGTATATTAATAACATTTTTTAAAACGATTGCAAATGAAGCAAAACGCGACCAGAAGAAGCATGACAATAATCGTTTCCGGGAAAACCATAAAGCAATAAGAAACAAATCATAAAGTTAAGAGAAACCATTACAAACAGTAATGAAAAGGACCAAAAATATGGATAGAGGCAATCATAGATTCGAATTTGAAGGATTTAAAAAAAAAAAAAAAAAAAGTGAGTACAAATAAAGAAAATAAATGAACAGCAAGCAAGCGTAGACGAATGAACTGTGTATGTATAAATAATGATGCGCATAAATGAGCAATAGTCAGGAAGATATTTTAAAAATGAAAATCGAATTACTGAAGTTAAAATAAAAAGAAATCAACTGATTAAATTCAATTGCCCTATAAGTGCAGTAAATAGTTATATCGAAATCTGCAAAATATACGGTATGGAACTCACCGTAGATAAGCATATGTTAACCTTACACAAGCCTGATAGTCATGCAAGTACATCCTGCAAATCCCACGAATTCCAGAATACATCTAAAGAGCAACCCTAAATTAATTGCCTTAAGATAGAGTGTACGATAAACAATACATTCCGCCGTAACCTGTTCTCCCAGCTAACCAACAATACATCTCTCTTTCCCTCTCTCTCAAAATCGTATCAAAAAAGTTCGCCATCACGCACGCTAGCATTACCAAAAACTCTTTAATTGCACTATCATCCAGACAACAAAACTGACAATGACGGTAATTAAAATCCTCACACTGATCGTTGCGTGAAAGGACACAAACCCAGTCAATGCTATTACAAAATATTTTCCTAGCATCTAATACTTAGCTTATATCCCCTCTCTTTTTATATTCAAATAAATAAAAGTCAAGCTTAAAAAAATTTGTTACGTTAAACGTCAAAAAATTGAAATAAGGCGTGCCGAATTCCATTCCATTCCCTATATATACTGCAAAACGCGCTTATCCGTTAAATAAAGAAAGAACAAGAGCATTAGAAAACAAAATAACTTTCACTGCACAATAAACTGCATGCATATATTACATGCAAAAAGCATTAAACTTAAAACACATCGGTAATACTATGATCTCACAGCTTCCAAATGTGCCTGAGAATGAGCATTTCGCTTGCGTACCATTTACGACCAAATTCTTGCACGCATTCACCACGTATACCTCACTAGAACAAATGCAGGTAACCGAAAACTTGTGTACCCTGCACTTTCACTGCTTGAAATTTCATTTTGAATTCAAACTAACTGAAACTCCATATAGTTTACTAGAACTTGTTACGCTCGCAGTACCCCAAGGCAAATCAATAAAAACCTTGCCAATATTTGCTTAAAACTATATATTTGTCATTAAGATTTTGTTTCCGTTACCTGCAAATGTCTTGCGAAAACGGTTGCAAAACGTGAGAAAAAAAATAGAAGAAAAGCAGAACTTGGAATATTATCTAATAAATACGTGGGCAGCATAAACTATATATATATACATATATAGTTTAATCATCGTGACCACGATAAACAAATAGTATAACACAATAGCCTCTCCAGATGATTCCATTACATCAAATTTCCATCCCGCCAACATCCAAATCCGAATACCCAATAAAAAAAAAAAAATAAAGAAAACCAATAATCCGGTTGGAAGCCTTTTGTTATGAACAAGAAGGTTCCCGAAAACATTGTGAAAGCTACTACTAATAAAAAATAAAAGAAAAAAGTTTAGAATAAAAGAGAAAAATGTAACTGATAAGGCGAATAAGCTTTTTTTGTGCATTTCTGTTATAACTAATACAATACTAATATATAGATACACATTCAAACTGCGGAAATAGTATAAAAAAAAAAAAAAAAAAAAAAAAACAACTCAAACCTTAAAAATGAATAAATGCAAGAAACTTATCAAAAAGGATGAAAAAAAAAAAAAAAAAACAGAATAGAATAGAATGAAACGATAAGAAGTGCCGAAATTCTCCTCCGATTAATAGAATAAAAGTAACTCTCACAACTAGTTGCAATACATATTCTCCTTCTTTGGATGACTATCAAGTAAACTGGTAGGATATATTTTTCCTAAACACTTGCTAAGGAATACTACTAGAACATGAAGCACTATAATAACAATGCCATAATTCATGGCAAATAACAATGAATGTTGCAAACAAAACGAAAGGATTGTTCATCGCCTGGAAGAAATAGCTGCACTTATACTGTCCACTGATAGTTCTTTCTTGGCTGCTGTAGCCGGCTGAAACAAGTTTACAAACGAATCCTCTGACGATAACGATATAAGAATTGGTAACATTGCATGTTTGATGCATTTAATCACCAAGCAATATTTCTAAATAACAAAACAGTTTAAATCAATTTAAGCTATAAACTTAATCTAAAATAATTGGAAAATCGAAAAAAAATAGGAGATATCAAGAAATACTGACATCAAATTTGAAATCATCCAAATTCTTGTATTCTGCTAGCTTCTTTTTGAGGAATGGATGAACTTCTAAGCGCCTCGAGTGCTTGTAAAATTTTAGAAAAGCCCAAAACTTTTCCAACCCGTACAGTTCGCCTCGTTTAACATCGTTCATTGTTTCCTCTTGGAAATCTAAGTACACGTTTGGCCTGAATTTACGCTCCAGACCAAAATTGTAGAATCTAAAGAGGCATTCTAGCCCGTACCTGCAAAAAGAATAACATTGTCATCTGTAAAAAATCACTAGTTCGATATTCCTAAAATAAAAATTAAAAAAAATCCCTTAATAAATTGCTGCAACAGAAAAATGAACCTGTAACCCGCTTCCGCATCTTCAAGGGCTAAATGTCTAAATTCTTGATACATTTTCCGGTTGAAATGGTCTCGCAAGAAGAAAGATAAGAAACGGAAATAAGTATTCATCTCAGTTGTGCCATAACCCAAATGTTCTCTCTGCTGTAGACATGATATTCTCCATTTCGTGTATATCTGCATTTACAATTACGCTGTTTCATAACCATGCTTGAGTAAATGGATATAATTCAAATGAATTTGGCTAATTAATCGATTTACCAAAACTGCTCGATTATTTACTGCAGTGCATCTCCTGCACAACAACTGCGTTAGTATGACGCGACTATGCACCATCAATCTCCTGAAGTAGGCGGCTTAGGATATCGACCTCTTCATCGAATCGTCAGTTAAACTCTCTGCTGGTTCAGGTTAAACATCAACGCTAACACTCGATGTTACACTTTTGTTGCATAAATATCTTTCAGAGAATTAGTGAACACTTTCTGACCACTACCATTCCCCTATGAGACGGTCAGATAATTAAAATGTTCTTACAGCAGCTGGTGTTCAGTTTAATTCTTAAAACTAGGGATAATACATGTAGAAGAAAAGTTCTCAAAAAGAAAACACCAACCTGTTCCTGGAAGCCATTCTCTTGCAACAAACTAAAGGAGACGTGCATTGAAGGGCCAGGTGCAGCTTGGTTACTTGTTGATTCAACCGAGTCGCTGAAACTATTTATATCAAAAATCTTGCAGGTAAATATGCAAATACCACTAGTACTTACAAGCACAAATGATATTCAGTAGACTTACGCATTAACAGAAGATGTCCTCGAACGAGTGCCAAAAACCCAACCAACGGGCATTTCAACAGGTGGATTTTCGCTATGACGAGTTTTATATTTTCTTGATTGAGAAGAATCTGGAACGGCACTCTCCTTCACTGGATAAAAACGTGGCGTTAACAGACCACATTCTGTTTCTCGTTTTGCCAATGGACTTTTTGTCTGAAACATCCTGGTACACTTATGTATGGAAGCATGAATAACAAATACAAAAAAAATAAATTCGTCTGCGCGTTTCAACGTATCGAAATAAATACAAGCACAGGGAACTGGAACGTACGTCTCTAGTTGAATGCTGGACTGACTGACTACAGGACGACCATTCTGATCTAATCTCTCCGTGAAAGAAATTTTAATCGAGTACAAAACAGATAAAACACAAAACAAATATCAAATTCACCGATGATGCAGCGTTTGCCGCAGCTCTTTCACGAGCCTTTTGTGCCCAAACTGAAGAAATTTCCGGGACAGTATTTGAAGTTGGAAGCGCTTTCTGCAGTTGTTCTGGCGCACATTTTTGAAGGGTGCTGTTCTCCCCTTTTAGTTGCTTGAATCCTTCTTCAGGAACAGTGTCAACCTTATTAATATGAGTCTGAAAATACCGCTGGATCGGTGTGTAAAAATACATACTCTTCCAAATTACAAAAAAAAAAATTCAAAGTAATGAAAAGTTAATTACCTTACGAGTTGTTTCTTTACGATTCCATAACTCATTTTCGTATCGCCTAAGACCATATTCCATTTCTTCCGTCAAATTTTGATTCACTTTGGGAGATGCTGGATCACCAGTACGATCAAACTGTCTCTTATTCGATGCTGGTGTTACAATAATCAATTTTTTGATATTTGCATCGCTTATATCCTCTGATGAATCATCCGATACTGCACTAAAGAAGTGGCTTTTTTTGCAAAGAAATCATGGATTGACGTTCTTCGCCGAGTTAAAACGCACATCATAGATATACCCAGTTAAGATTAATTAGCGTACACAGGAAATAAGAGGAAAACAAATTCTGCAAAACTTACATCCTATTAACTGTTCTCCTTTCGCGATGTGGCAGATCTGGTACTGCAAAAAAATCGTCATCATTCTGCAAGTCCGTTTCTGGAACAAATCGTGCTGGTGGCGATGAAACTGAATGTGATGCTCCTTTGCCAACAGCATTACCAGAAGCCTTACTTTTCCTTTGCTTCCGACTTTTGACCTACAATTTTAATGTGTAAACATAACCAATTATTATAAACACAACTAACCGCACAAAATATTTATGTACAAATAACAAACCTCTTGCCAATCTTCTACTTCAGATTCTTTCGTTAGTTCCCTGTTCCGCTCCATCATCTCATTATTGCTCTTCCCATTACCATTTTTTCCATATGTATGTGATGATAGCCTACATGAGACGTCTTCCGTTTTATCACGCTTACTGCCTTTTGCTAAATTTGAAACCGTCTCATCTGTAATTAGCGCAGAATAATTGCCAGTAGTCACTTCTTTAGTAGTGTCATTATTGTTGCGTCCTTCACAATTTCGCTTCTCAGCTTCAAGTGATTCCAAAGAAACAGACGGCTGCAACTCAGCTTGCACTAAAACATTAGAATCCGTAGCTTCAGGTGCCAGTGGCTCTGTCGTCATCACCTGAGAAACCACCGAAGATGCAATATTTGTCATCTTTATGGTCGTATCAGCTTCCGGACGAGCAGCATTGCTACTTGACTCCGTGGTTTGCAATAGAGCCGGCGAAAGCGGCCATTGTTGTGGATTATCACGCGGTCGAACCTAAATAAAAAGAATGCGAAAGAGATTTGAAACGTTGACTTAATTACAGCTTATGAATTTCCCTACTCAGAAAAGGAAGCGATGTACTAGTCTATGAAGAAAGAAGATTTCAGCGTGTAATACTGACTGTGCCAAATAAGATGCATACAGTCACTCAATTATCCATAAAATTTCTCGACAAACTATTGAGTTCAAAGACACTAATCCGTTTTTTGAACTTATAGAGCAATCAAGCGCTTACATTTTCATTGTCGTCACTAAGTTCCACTTTTTCACTACTTCGTAAAGCTTCCGTAATTAATGCAATATTATCGGTAAGTGTACGAACACGAGGAAAACTAGCTATCAACGCTAACGATAAAAAACCATTTTTATCCATCTTCCGACGTAAATAGAAATCTTTCTGAAGGTTCTCCGGAGATAAGTAATACTCTCTGAAATAACAATTCGCCGCTATAAAGTGGAATATACAATGAGATCAGATAAACACAAAATCTGCAGCTCCTTTCATCATCATAAGAAAATGTCAAGGGAGTTTAGCGGAAATGTGAATAGCAAAAATTTATTGTCAAATCCGCAGAAAGAAAAACATGAAACCATCACTTTGTCTTTTACAAGAAAGAGAAGTAATACATTAATAAACTTACATTTGTTTTCTAACATATTCTTTCAAAGTTTCACTGGTGATTGGTGCTTGGGGTGATACAGGTGGATAAGCGGCATGGTAAGGGACACTCATAGGGCCTACCGCCGGTCCAGGGATGAATTCACCTTTGGTTGTGAGAACACCACTGCCTGGTGAAAGTAAAGCGGTTGGTGTTGGCGGGACAGTGTTGGATGTAAGCGACGATGCTACACTGTCCGAACGTGACTCACCTACGGTTGCAGCTACAGCTGCAACCGTAGGTGGAGGTTGGGAAAGCAGATGGGGGTTAAACGGGGAAATATGTGAATGACGAAACGTTAGGGCAGCCATTTGTTGGTGCGCTTGAAACATAATATTCGCAGTCGGAAATGCTGCTGCCAATGCGGGATCCAAGCATGTCGAACTGGGATCAAATGGAGGTATCGTGGACACAGCATAAAACTGCGCATATTGAGATTCCATCAGATCCATATAATCAAAATTATCATCGTCTCCTGCACATTCGTCCCAGTCTGGCAATGGCCCACGTGCTCGTCTTTGTGCAGAAGTTAATTTGGGTGGTGCCTGTGGATGTGACCCACGTGGTTGCCACTTATCGTTACGTAAAAAAAATGCTTTGTTACGATCCGAAATGTCATCTATCCCAACATTACTACCAGCGCCTCCGCGTTCATAATGAAGTGGCTGCTGTTGCTGCTGACGACGCACAGCATCAGCTGCTGAGCCACCATTTTTATGCCAATAATCTACTCCACTTATGCGATTTCCAATTATCGGTGCACGAACAAATTGAGGTTGCCCAAAATATGGACGATGACGATTCCCACCATTTTGAAGTGCTGCTGCTGCAGCCGATGTAGTAGCCCACTGCTGTTGGGTAATACCATTTGGTGCTGCAGCTGCCATTGCTGTTGTCTCGTCACGTTTGTTGTACCTACAAAAATAGGTTATAATCATCCAGATATTACTCCGGCACATTTATTAAAAAAGAAAGCAAAGTAAAACATGACTTCAACTTCTTATTTCTAGACTTCGTTGAATGTTTTAATAGTGATCCCAAACAAAGGAACCGTCGACGGTACAGTTAGACAATGAAATGAAAGAAAATGGCTTATCAAAAAATAAAAGTACAGGATTACTTTAGAACTTTACAAAAAAATAGTGCAGTGATAGATCAAATCCAGACTCCCATTCTTTTCTTACTCCATTCTTCATCACTAATTTGAATGTTCAAATAAAGTCTAAGATACTTTCGATCTGCCTAATGCAACCTGTTAACCAACAAAATACCAAAGTAAGTCTAAAGCTAAATAAAAGAAGCACAAGAACTAAGTGTCTCAAAAAATGCGAAATTAAAACGCAAATACAGTGAAATGAAGGATACATATACATCGTACAGTCAATTCTTAAACACAACTACGTAACAAAAATTAGACGAGAAAACGATGGTGAAATACAAAATTATTTTGACTGAAAAAATACCATACTTAGAAAGGAAATGATGCATGATGATTATCGAAATAAGAACTTTATTATTCCAACCATTTTCCTAGAGTTTTTTCTCTTCCTCTCAAACGAACTTTAATGTGACTATTAACATATTTCTTTTCCCCCTTTTACCACCTTCCAGTTCCTCTAAAAAAGTGATGTCACTAGTCTAATTGCAGGACCTACTATTCTCTTTTTTAAAGATAGAAAATAGAGAGGCAGACGTGAATGCATAAAAATTCCTCCAACCTTTTCAAATGAAATATTCTATATGCAATCAATGCTTTTTAAATGAAATTATGTCTGCCATACGGCCTACTGATAATACTGATAATACAGAATATTTACCCTAGCAATAGCTGCCAACGACAACCACATATTATAAAACTTTCTTAACCCACTGAAAATAAAACATTAACAGATACAAAAAAAGATATTAAGTCCAATAGTGTTGAACAACAAGTCAACACTTTTACAATAGAATGAAATTCGTTTTATTACATAATTTCATTACCGTGATAATTTATTAAAAGTCTACCAGTCTAATCAGAAAAGAAATCACTTTTTATCAACTAAGACACTTGCTTTCACCATTCCCTTTTACACTTTACATTGTTGCTACAGAATGTTATGAGCGGTGCAAACTGAATCATTCGGGAACAGGAATGGTGCACCAATGACAGTCACTCATAACTATATGTTTACGGAGCGTAATTCATCCTCTCATTTACAGTAATTATTACATTCACTTGCCGCACAATTATACGACAATATGACAGTGTAGTCAACAATTTTACGCCAGTTGTTTACATACTCAATAAAACGCGCGAAAACTGAAATAAAATTTCCATGCATTTCACAATCAACTTCCATGCAATATTTAGCAAAGAAAATAATACTCATGACGAATGAAGATGGTGATCTGTCAAACAGCTGTAAATTTCAAATTTATCACTGCAGTTCTTTCCGATGCATATTCACTAATTACCATTCGGTCGTCAAATGTTAACAATTATGCAAAGATAGAATATTAGTCACATAACGAAATTTTGCACACAGCTGTTGAAAGAGATTATCAATGCTTAGTACCAATGCATTAAAGCCTGTTGGCATTCTTTTAACATTTCATTTAATTTTCAGTCCACAAAACCTTCGCCGCTTTTATGGAACTTATATTATCAGCTTTAAAATCTCATAAAATGCTGCATTATAGTTAAAATTGTCAATGAATCATTCACAACGAAACATTTAACCATATCTGTCGAAGTGTTAATTACAAGCAAAAAGAAATGATGCTTTTGTTAATAAGAGAATCTGCAAATCTTTATGTGTTATGGTAATCTCAAGCCATATGCTAAACAGCGGTGAACATGAACTCACAGAATTACAATTTATAATCGGCTGCACATTTATGCTTCCTGTCCACCCACTCCCTTCATCACTTTTCTCTACTAATGCAAATTTGATTACAGAACGGACTAATCACAAAGCTTACATTTAGCGTTTTGATTTAAGTAGCTCAAAGCATCAAGATTAAGAAGCAAGAACTTACACCTTTTTTCCAAAAGATTTAAAGTCTGCACTGTGCGCAAAAATTAGTTAGTCATCTAGTACAAGCGAAGAAAATGAAAAGAAAAGCAGCAGAAACCTTTGCGGTGGATTTGTATTCATTGCTTTCTGATTGCGGGCTTTCGGCTGGTAAGAAAGATGTGGGATTAGAGGCACTGCCGTAACCATAGGCTTTTGCCCCTGTATAGACGGTATATTGTGATAGTGATGGTGTGTACCGGCAAAATCACCATCAGAATTCACCTTTTTCTTCCACCCTTGGTTTCCTTCTAACTGATAATAAAATCCGTTTGAAGCTGTATCCAAATACCTGGAAGAAAAAATGCTAATTAATCGGAGGACCACATGGTAAACGGATGGACCAAAGAGGATTGATATGTTATTTACCCATCACTATCAACTAACAAGGGGTGCATATCACACAAGGAAATAGAAGGAAAAGATTGAAGTTACTAATAGTTTGTCAAAAAATACATAATTAAAATGTACACAGAACCCAACTTTCAACCTGTATCAAGTGCACAGAACAAAAACCTTTGGTAACAGTGGATGTTATACGAACTGTGCAATGTTAAGTTATCATTTCACGGTAGCTGATGACTGTAACTGATGACATGGACACGGAAGAATCGATTAATGTGGCATAATCAACAATAAAACACTAGAAAATTATCATAACAAATGAGTAATGTTAAAGCTACATCCACTGCCCAATAGTTATCATTCCTTGCAGCAATGCAGCAAAGAGCTTGCAGCTGTGTTATGAAGCGCAGCAAAGGGAAAACACAGAGCTCATCGTCCTTCTAAATTATATTAAAACGCTAATAATTGTAATGTTAGATATGATGAATTTCGTTACTTTTCGTTCAAAAATGCTTGCTTTTTTAAGAGATGGAGGCCAGAACAAAAATGAAGATAATGTTAAAATAAGTACTCGTCTAGAACGGATGACCAGTAAACTATAATGTTAGCAATCAAACACACTTCAGGACAGAAGCTGTTGAGGACAACAAAAAAAGGCACAGGGAAAAGAGACCGCAAAATTACCTCCCACAAAACTTTAACTGAATTTGAAACGGCAAGAAAATGGATGCAGTAGAGATGTTCGATAAATGTGTTAAAAAAAAAAAAAAAAAAACAGATAGAAGCAACATGGGAGAAAGCAATGAAAATGGCAGCAGAGGAAGAAAAGGTAAGGGAAGGAGGACAAGCAGAGAGAAAGTGATGATGGAATGGTGTAATAGAGAGAAGCAAGTCAATTTTGTTGTAACTACGAAAAAAAATGACGAGGATGAATAGTTCGATATATAAAAGTGACTGATAGATTAGAAGGGGAAAACTAGTTCAAACGTCTCTTCCATCGCACAGCACAATTGCGCAGTTCCTTTTAAAGCAGGAAGATATCCATCCGGAGAAGCTTACAGCAAACGAGAAGGGCGCGGTGCGACGGAGAGCATTCTGGGTTAAATGTGCTTGGAGGAGGATATAACAGAAAAACCGATGATATTTCGCTGTGTCCTAAGTATTATTTCGCCATGTCAGACAGACGATTAGTTTGGCGTCGTTCACAGACGATCATCTGTCCCTCTGTCTATCTGCTATATGTTTGTCAGAAAGGAAATATAACGCGGTAGTTAGACGGACGCAACACCGCCTTTCCTCTCTGCATTGCCAGCTAGCGCTGATATGATGATGGGTTTCTAGGAGATTGTGATCAAAGGACAGGATGGGAAGGCGAGACGGTGACAATATGTGCGTGTATGACGACGGCAACGACATGTTGACTATGGTAATGCGACGGTCGGCTGGCCGTCGAGACCCTCCCTCCGCCATTCTGTTACCCACTCTCCCCCCCCGCCCCCTACCCCCAAACTTCGATTCTATTTTCTCAAATCGATTTCTCGAGCAATACAAACATCAGACATGTTTGAGCCACTCCATCAGTACAATACTGCTCCACTGTCTGCATCATCGGCAACCACTCTCGCCTTTGATTTACATACATTTGCACACTGAACAATGGTAACTTCAAAAAAGGTGTTTCGGGAAGTATCTCTTCAGAACTGCTGGACGTTCAGACCTAGCCATCAATACATGGTGTGTTGTCTGAGTCGAGTATTGAATAACAGAGGGCTCTAATCGCAAAGGACTAAATTGAAAGAGACTGGAAATAGGAAAGAAGCTTCCAGCTCTGCACACTCCATAAACGCATATTCCAGTACATGCATAGAGTGCGCACGCATTGTAAAGATGCATGCGCACATTCATATAAACACAACATGCATCATTGCATAACTCATGCTCGCATACAATGCATAAAAATTTACAAAAATAAGTCACAAATAAGTAGTAATCAAATCATTAAGAATATATTTTTCTTTCTATTATATTTACAAAAAACTTCCGTGTAGCATTTCACCACCATTTCATAACATAAATTTTCCTTAAAGTTCCTAACAATGACTCCATCAGTCGTTGAGATATTTTCAAGTTTTCACTTTTCCTATAAATCGCATCCATAAATTCCTAACACTTATTGAAATTACTAGTGAAATCCACAAAATAAAAACTCGATAACGCAAAAGCCTCTCGCACTTTTAATGATTCTGATTTCAAGCACTATTAATCCTACATATTAAGAAAAGCAGCATTCTGCGAACTTATATTAAAGTTCATTTGAAAAAGGTCATACTTGATAATTAATTATGCAACTTTGAACTGATAAAATTATAAGTAAATGATCAGTTCTTTTTTTGAAATGCAGTCTAGGTAGAGATAATGTAATTAGAGCACACACACACACCCCGATGTAGCAATATATTTCAAAAAGTGATGCACATGGAAAATTTCAATTCCGATAAAATCACAAAACTGTTCTAATTGGAGAAGTAAATTATAGACTACTTACACAAACCGTGCAGCGTTCGAAATAATGTGCTCGTAAAGCAAATTGGTAAGTGAGCAGGAGTAAATCAGTAAAATAAGATTCAAAGTATGTCAGTGAATAATAGTTGTCGTTTTGTTCCACAGCAGACGGAGAGATTGGCTCTGCTCAATATTAACATTACACCTGACGTAGGTATAATCTAACAAGCATTCATCAAGTAAATGAGCAAATATACAAACAACAAATGTAAAAAACAAGCGGATCTTGCCAAATGGTCAAAAACGATACAATTACTTGTGTTCTCGTACGTACTTATCCGTCTATTTCATAGCATATGATTTTGCATAAGTTAGGCCAAATAAATACTTTTAATGTTTCAGCTTGCTCTCCGTAGTCTGGAAGTGTTTGGTGTAGCTAATGTACTTCGAGCAAGGAAGGGTAAAAAGCAACCTCTTATCGACAATAGTTGAAATGAAATGCCATACCGAATACTAGTATAATTTAGCATCTATCAGAGAAAGGAATGGGAAGAGTTTGAAGTAAGCAGTGTAACGACACAATTTCCTGCTCTGACACTTAAGTAGGCGACAGATGCAAAGAGGAAAAAGAAACAGACATGTGTGCAATGGATAAAAAAGAGAATTATGGGTATAGTACACACTGCCAATATTTTTTAGTTCCGATCCTCCCAAGGTTGCTGCCATTGAAAGAGCGCACTGGAACTTAAGCAATAAGTCCGTTCGTTGCCAATCCTCACCTAACTTTCTTTTCAAACTAAATCTAACCACACAGCTCGATTATCACTACATATCTTGAAAACATAAAATTAGGTTAGAATTTAAAGACGAACGCGGTTACTGTAAGGAAAGCGAATGGGTTGGAACAACACCAGCAGGCGATACACAACGCAACATCTTACCAATAGTCTTCCTCAGCGTATTCCTCACTGACGGTAGCACATTCAGGACTGTATATAAGTGCCGGTGCAATGCATGATAACGGTTGTGCACAACCCAGCAAAGATGCAGGCGCTAGTGCTGGTGCCATCTTTGAGGCATTTTCGGCTGTTGAAGCAGGATCGGTGACGATCCCATAAGATGGACTGATGTATTCTTTTACTGTCTGCTGTTTCGTGAAGTTCGCACCTCTCCTGCTAGAGTACTTTATTATTCTTTTAGTAGAACTGCTTCATGTTGCACACTTGTTGAAATTTCGTGCTGACCACCCGAAATGCATAGATAACCCCTTCCTCTCCAGTTACGCTGCATATCTATCAGACATGAAATCGAATGGGACAGAACTACACGTATCTACGTTGTCTATAAAAAAAAAAAACCGAAAGTGAAGTACGATAAGTCGGCTGAATGACACAACCGAACTGTTACATGGAGAGATCAATAACACACAAAGGCATTAATTAGACTGACTAAGGAATTTTGAAGAATACTGAAAGCAACCACTATGTGGAATAGATCGACAAATATAAAGTTTATAGTTACAACAATTTAGCAAAAACCTATGCACTTCAGAAATTTCGGAAAATGCACAGGTACTGCATGTACTGCAGAAAGTGCACTTCCGTGTCTAACCACTGGAAAGAAATTAAAAATCCAAAGAATAAGAATGAAAATGTTGAAATTGATAAAACCTCAGAAAATAAGCGTCGATTTAAAAAAATCTATCAGTAATTCAGTACAACAAAATTGTCCGTTTATGCAATTTGTGCATATCGCTTCCACGCATGGGGAACTTGTTATGCACTTTTATCACAAGAAACAGAAAAGTTGTCTTTCCAAAAAAGAAGAAAACGGAGTTCATGAAAACCTAAGGATCAAAATTTCACAAGAAAAAAAAAGAAAAAAATTGCTGGCAATTAAACTGCTACTGATGAACGAAAGTTCTTCGGTGTCTTTTTTGCTTAAACCAAATTGCAAAGAAGATTGTCTAAAAACCTGTTTTTTTGTGGATGATCATTCTTGCTACCCGAACTAGTGTTACCGCGCCTTCCTTGTCCTTCGCGTCCTGCATAATCCACCTCAAGGTCCAATTTCTTCCATGCTTTGCCACTTCTGTTACTTTTCCCATTACTTTCATTTTCTTTATCCCTATCTTGTTTCACATCCTGAAGCATTCCCAGCCATACATAAATTTCGATGTCAAATTAAAAATCCTAGAAGATTACAAACAATAAATATGCACTAGTTGAAAAATAACAGGAAGTGATTTCTAGAATAATTCGATAACCGTATTACATCTGAAATATTTTTGCATGTAAAACGGTTTCAAACCCAATACCACATAATAAAGGCCTATTTTAAGGGGTAATCATTGAAATGATAAAGAGGACCCAAAAATATGTGCCAAAATTAGGGCTTCATTCAGAACAGAAAACAAAAATACCGCATAAGATGCTGCCTCTAAATTGTCAGCGACTTTCACCACTTCATGACTAACAACAGCACCTCCCTTCGTATTCGCATTATTTATCGCGCTGTCCGGTTTTGATTCTTCACTTACCGCTTCATTCAATGACGGCCACGCTTTATCATCCACATTAGTTCCCTTAAAAACATAATATTTTACTGAAAAACTATTAACACAAGCAATATGGAGAAAAAGTGCAATCTAAAAAATTGGGAAACCCAAGTCTGCTAACTTTACGCATGTCTCAATTCAGCGATATTTACAAAACGACCTAAGCGCAAGATTTATAAGGAAATTATTCCTAGAAACAACATATGATGCTCAGCATATCAAACAAAGTATGCCTAAAAACTCAAATGATGCTAATATGAAAATAACGTTCCAATCAAGAAACTGTTTCTGCAGGAAGCGCTTTTCTTAATTCAAAAATATTGAAAAAAAAAAAAAAAAAAAACCTGATATATTAATCAGTTATAAAGTGAAGATGGTAGCTAGTTTCAATACGGTATGTTAAAAATTGAAATATCTAAAAAATGAAAAATAAAAAGTGCTAGTAATATTATGTGATGACTGATTAAATGCTAGAAAGCTTATTCAGTCATGCATTTTTTAAACGCATGCCCAACTAAAGACAAACCAACCTTGCTAAATATTATAAAAATGCTGTAGTTAGGTTCCAGTCTAATTATTAATAACCGATAACTGTACGAATGACATGGGAAGGAGGAAAGAAAAGATTGGAACAGATAAACGCCAAGATATAACGATTTATATTATTGGGAAATCACACTGCGAGAACAGCCTCTAACACTTAGAATGCAGAATTCCAGAACATCATATCAGATATGTAACGGACGTACTTCGGCTTCGTGCTGCTCTCTCTGTTTTATTTGACCTGAATAAGAAGGCTTTACCATCTTCTTTGAATCATTTCCACTTGTGCATGTTAGCGTTTCTTGCGCAGTTAACTGAATGAAACAAAAGATAATATTTTAAAAAATGAATTTGATTAGTACCAAAAAAAAAAAAAAATCAAAGATGTAAGGATAGTGGCCATGCATGGAGGTAGTCAATCTTGCAATTGTTAAGTCAGAAGAAGTGCACGATTACTGAATTGAAATATGTTTTGATCGAATAACTGTAAAAACTACGGACAAATTTCTCTTATTCAATTTATTTATATTCATTATCAGGAAAGGTAATAATCCCTTGTCACAAAAATTGACATTTCTCAAAGTTATGTAATTTTAAACGTATCGGACTGAACTAAATGAGTATTAAAAGTGACAAGATACTGAAGCAGTGATCAAAAAGCTGAATATATTACAGTGCGTCCTCGACATTGAAGAATATTCTTTTTAACCAGGAACATGCTCTATATCTTTCAAGACTGAATTCAAGAAAATGTGCCGGAAATATTATTTTCTGATGAGCATTACACAAGTCAAACTGCAAAGCTGTTGATGGCGACACATCTCTTACCTCACAGTAAATTAAATTTGATGACTTTCTATTAAAACAAACCTTAATAACACTATCAGTATCAGACTCCATCGTTTTCAAAGGTAATAATATTTCTTGTGAGTTGGCTTCTTCTTTTGTTGAGGATGTCTGAGAATTCAAGACGCTACTTTCTTCCTTTAATTCTTTTGTTTCTAAAACGCGTAAATTTTTGAATTTTTCCTTGTAGCCATAATTTTTACGAATGTACAACATGCAATCAGAAAACTCTACAAAAAGAATAATTACTAGTTCACATACTGCAGTTATTCCTTACTTCCAAAATGCAGTTATTCCTTACTTTCCAAACAAATAAAAGATGAGAAATAATAAATGGTTACACAATGCCATATGCGATGCTACACAACCGAATCTGATGTAATCTGATCATGTTTCAAAGTTGATAACGAATTATTTAATTGATATGTTAATAGTATCAGCAATACGCAAAAAATTATAGCTTAGAAATCCATAGTTTATAACATCAAACTGTACCAAAAAAAAGACAAGGGACTTTCTCTACCTGTTGCGGACTGTTTGAACCAAGCATTCACAGTTGGAAGTGGAGCGGGACCTAAAACTACCTCAGGTTGTTGCTCCGTATGTGCTTCACTTTCTTCCTTACATGCCAATAATACGTTATCATCCTAAAAAAAAAAAAAAAAATAAATAAAAATAAATAAATACCACTGCGAAACACATTTTGCAAAATAAAATTTGCCTAATTTCTAATTACAGCTTTTTCCATTTATAAATACTAATTCTGCTGCCTTGGAAGTATATGGAATGCAAAATGAGTTTTTGGTTTACATTTTAAACTATTTACACATCAAAATACACTACAAAATGAAGTATATGAAAAAGTAAAACTGAATGACATTTCCCACAAATAACCTTTCGCGATCGATCATTTTTGGAACGTGGTTTGCTACGCCGTTGAATTTGTTGATGATACTGATTTTGTTGGTGTGGACCAAACTGTACTGGACGTTGAATATGAGCGTTACCATCTAAATCTTGTTTTCGTTCCTCAATAAATCGTTGATGTAAACCATCTTTGTTTCTGCCGAAGTTAGGAATAGATGATGCGATTATACCACACGATTCTCCGGGTGTGATACAACTCGTGTGACTTCCTGATTCTACTGCAGTGATGCTTACACTTGTGGTCTCACTACTTGCCGTTGCAGTGGTAGTAGAAATAATAGCAGTAGTAGTAGTAGCAGTAATAGTAGTAATAGTAGTAGAAGCGATAGTAGTAGTGGTAGCAACAGTAGTAGTAGCAGTAGTAGAAGTATTAGCAGTAATAGTAGTTAAAGCAACAGCGGCAGTGACAGGAACTTGCGTTATCGTAACATTTCCACTGCCAGTACCGTTTGTATCGACAGTTCCGGATACAATCCGAGCAAATGTTAAATGTGGCTTATTCGCCATACAAAAAGTTCGGGGTGATGTTTCGCTGAGAAAGACTTCAAACCTAAATCTGAAATTGAAAGAATGGATAATCTGAGAATAAAGGCCAATTCACTCTTTCTTATATTTCATCTTTCGTTTTCATCATTTCTCGTTCATTCTATTTCGCATGCCACATCACAAATAACATATCTAAACATATGTTCCTGCAATGAACATAATAATGATACGAAAACGTCCCCAGTGTAATTGTACACTTTTTTGTGACATGGCATAATAAAATCATAGCATTTTTGATACATACTTGACGAGCTTGTAAATTTATGTCTCATTAACTGTATGAAAACGTATTATATATAAACGTAAATCAGTGTCTTCAATGTTTGTCTTAGTGTATTCATTAAATACAAATTATTCTAACGGTTCATGTAACGAATCAAGAAACAAAAAGAAACAGATAATAAGAAAACACTACTCCAATAATTTACTTTAAAAAACTGATCACAAAAATAAACGGAAACGTAAGTAATGTAAGCGGAAAAACAAAGAAAATACGAAAAGAAAAAGGATTTCTTGCTCCATAGAATAGTACAAATCACTGACTGTTTGCCACATTAAGCCACATAGCGATCACTCGACCAAACAATGTCAACCTTAAATCATCCTGCTCAATCCAATTACATATAAAATGAACCACAATAGCAGTAATAAGAATTTCGCAAGCAGAAGTTAAGCGTGCGAGTACGACAACAAATAGCAAAAATTTCCACAAAAACAATCAGTTACCTCACACCTTCTAACCTTTCCTCTATTCCTCCTCTCTATCCTTCTTCATTCCTTGTTCTAATTTTCGCTTTCTCCTCCTCCTCCTAACCTTTCCCTCTTTCAGCTGTCCTTTCCCATCATCCGTATCCGTTCTTCATATAATACACACAACATTACTCAGTAGAGCCAAGAAACGTATATTACGTCCCGTTCTGCAACTATCCCAAGTAATACTTACAAGTTAGCAACCTTCATGTCTTCACTTAATTTCAAATGAGTGGTAATCCTATAACAATGGATGGCCAACATCAGGAAGGAAGCATGAAATGTGTGATATGAATGGAAATGATGGGATTAGAATGAATAAGCACGTGATTTCACAAAATGTACTTAACCGCAGATGACGCAACCCTTCCTCTTAACCACCCCAACACTGGCCATCTACTATCCGATACCTATCCTTGCTTTTCCACTTTCTTTCTGTATCTATAAAGATGGTCTGCACAGCGATCCTATACTGGTGCACTTCCCACACTACGTGTATGTACACACACGTATACATACACACACATAAGTGGAAAGTTTGATGTGCTCTACGACCCTACAACACGCAACTGTCCTATTCTTTGCACACATACACATACCTTGCATGTACATATATACACGTACACCAAATACACCACAGTCATATACCGTATTTACATACATGAACATATACTGCACTCATAGGTGAGTCGTATATTCCATGTATGTGTGCATGTATACAGCTACATACACACACATACATGGCATATACGACAACTACAGACACATACAAGGCAGACACAAACCACAAACATACACGTACGTCGAGAAATCGTAGACTATATAAGGTTTAGAGCTGCAATAAGATAACGATATCTTGGCATTTCGCCAGAGTGTTACGATAGGCAGAAACGTGTAATAGGTAGCGTGAAAAGGTGGGAGGTGAGACGCCTGGAACAGTTACGGTGGTCAGTAAGTGGTTTCTTCAAGACTTGCGATGGTCAGTAAGTGACTTCTTCAAGACTTGCGATGGTCAGTAAGTGACTTCTTGCTTATTGACCACGGTAAACATTTCTAGGTTGTAGCGGACGTTTTGTCGTGAATGTTAGGAGGAATGCTATGAACCATTGGTGAGATGCCTCTCTCTTTACCTGTCTTCTCTTCTGCTTTCTTCTGAACAGTGAAAGTATCATTTTCAAGAGAAGAGTGTCGTTTGACTTACTCTTACAGGAATCTTCAGTCTACCAGAAGCCCAGGAATGATTTCACTACCTTTTATTGAACCATTGGTTATTAGTTGCAGTTCTTTTCACGATTAACCAACTGTAGAGTTTCCAATTTGCCATCGAACTTATCAATGCATGATTTGAAATTGAAATGTTGGACTAAATTTATATCTACATCGAGATTAATTGGAAGCTTGCATAGAGCTAATTCTGCATTCGACTTCTACATTTGTGTCATGTAAATCATTCTTGGATTTTTGTACACTACCATTATTTAGAATAACATGAAATGCAAAATATCTATGAAGCTTGAAACCGAGAAAATGTTGGTCACTGACTGAATTAACCGATCAAGAAATATATTATGAAAGCTTTTAGTATCAACTGAGCAGAATTATTTTCTTTTTCAAGAACGTAATGGAACGAAGAAATCACATTATACAAGGTGAAATGGAGATAGTTCACTGATAGCCATAATATCTTAATCTTACTGAATAACTGTAGCTGGTCAGAGAACTTATGGGTGACATTCACTTGAATATTTTTTACCTGCAGTCCTAATTAAGTACTTAGAGATTCTTTGGCAGGAAACATTTCTAACATTATATCTGGTATGTAATCAAGAAAAATGGAGGAAAAAGTGTGGAAATCAAGCCGAAACTACAATTTATGTTCCCTCAGCGTTAGTAATGTCGTATCAATGTGCATTATTTGAAGACTGTTAAATATAAAGGGCCTTTCAAATTTCATTACATATACCAGGGTGTGTGCTTAAAACGGCTGTCTTATTTCTTATTTCTCGAAACTTTTTTTTTGGGAAGAGTTTTTAGCAATTTTCAGAGCAGTTTCACGGTGTGATGCCGGCGTTTAGTTCTCGAGCTGCCTGCTTCCATAACTTTCGGTCCTCCGTTATCCAGTACCTGTAATGGAACCCTTATCAGCACATGATTTTACATTACATTTCAAGCTTAACGAACTGAAATTAAGGAATGCTGTTTATGATGTACCTAATATTGTTTTCAAGACCATCAATTATTGTTGACCATTTGGGGACCGATTCACAATCTAGTATGTTCAAACACATGTCGAATATATCTTCTAGTAACTCTCGCTGGGGCCAACGTCTGCAAAAAAGTAATGACCACGTCAGCATTATGCCTACTTAGTTTTTTACTGCTGATGATTAAATTATTTTAAACATGCTTTTAATTAAAAGAATTCCTTATAAATGACAAAGTAGTGAAATGAGTGACCATCTGGTGTGTGGAAGATTAAAGTCCCGTTATAAAAATAAACTGGTCGTGACCGTAATCTTCTCTAGAGATGATACAGATGAAACCAAAAATGTATCAGAATTATATGCAAACTCCAAGCAGACAGACAGTGATTATTATTACTATCATTACTTTCGCTATACTTGTAACGTTGCTCGACACATTTCGCACTTTATATTAAAAGGTAAGGGAATTTTTAACTTCGAGATCGGACTTCGGAACAGGTAACTAAAAAACCTTTTCATCACAGATGTTGCGCTGTACCGTCCTGCAGTATTCCGGTACGTCTTCATATACTTTCCATATATTATAACATGAAGCGTTGAAACAAAACCATAGAAATCTGTTTGGTATGTCCATGGTCGACCATCCTCAAATTCTTATATTTTTATTTATGAGCAATTTGAGATAACCATATTGCTTATTAAGTGTCACAATCACGCTGGCATAAAATTTCAAAAAAAAAAAAATGCGTACCAAAAGTAAAAAACCTTACCTGCATCTCAGAACAATCGAAAGCGACTGTGCCAGCTTTTCCTCGGAATGTGCATCCTTTCAGGGAGTTCATGTCGATGGCACGTCCCCAGTCAATCAATTTTAATGTGAAAGATTTTTTTTCGAGGATTTGTTCCAGTGCAGCATCTTCGTTTAAGCTAAAAAAATCACATAGATACATAAAGTATGATGGAAATTGACGTCTTCGTTGGGAAACCGTAACTAACCGATGGAGGATCATGAAGTTATCCGGTTTAACATCTCCGTGTATTATTTGAGCGTTATGAACTGCCTCCAGAATTCGACTGATCTGCCAGGCAAGATAGACTGTTAAAAGACCTGAGCATGACATATTCTTGGCTTGTAACTTATTCATCATGTCCTGAAAGGTTAACACGAATTATGGGAATAAAATAAATTAGTTTCCGGGAACTTATCTCAAAACATGTCAAAAAAAGATATCCAAGCTTTGTAAAGCACAAATTAAAAAACGATTTTAAAAAGTACTGGTTATGTATTTATGGAAAGAAAAAAACTCACAAGAAGGTTCCCATGCTTGTGATATTCATAAACAATAGCGCTTGCATTCGAAAATAAGTACGCATCGCGGATATTCATTACGCCACCAAGCATCGCCTTCGGAATTCGAATACGCAGTGTTTCGCAAGCATAAATTTCCCATTTACATGGTGGCATTTCAAACTGCAAATCAGCATAGTGAATGGAACTAAAGATATTCAGATGAATATCTCGCTATATTCTTTATTAATTTCAATTTAATAGTCTCAAGCCATTTAAGCCAAAACCATTATTCCTCCATGGAACCAATCAAATGTGAGGAAAAAATACCTTTATTGCATAAAAGTTGCCGTCTTCCGATTTACTCTTATAAACTTTAGCGAAACCGCCTTCACCGATCAAACACTCAATATCAAAACGTTCACCTCCTAAAACCATAGCAGTACCAGGACTGAGGCGATTGCATCTTTCCTGTAAAAAAGATAAACTGCCCTTTATTTCACCCAAAAATTTTGAAAGTTAAATATTTTAAAAACAATGATTCATACAGCAAATAATTAGAGATTAAAGATACTGTTTAAGCAGTATGAATCCCTCCATAAGGAGTGTGAATTACCGGGAATTCGTGAACATTCGCTGGGCAGAAACATTGGTTAGTCATAATTTTGTCTCGTAATTTTTCATCCCAAGGATTTACTTCGGAGTCAGCGTGCAATCTG